TTCATATGTGTGTTTAAATGTTTGTTGTTTCCCTTTGTTTTTTTTACTCGCTAAATACATTTAATCACCGCAAGTAACCAAAATACAGAGATTATTTTTAGCTGCAGAAGAAGTGTGAAATCTGTACTTGTGTTTCCAAAATCATTATAAACAGAGATAATTAATGGAAACATTATCTGTTGTTAGACTAAAGGTGGTTGGTATATTGAAAGGAAAAATATTCAATATTTCTTATAAACAGAAACAATCCATTGGAAAATAGAACTGTTCATGAACCTATAGGGAAATTATTCACCTTTCATTTAGCTTTAACAGTATTATGTATTATTTAGCATTTTATTATTCAGTCAAAGGTTACTGCATGTCGTAGTGTCAACATGGAATTTGAATCGTAAAAGGCAGCTTCACGTGAGTCTTACATCTGTGTTGAGTCAATGGGAAAGCAACAAAGTAAGGCATGATGTTAAGATAGACTTTAATTATTTCATGTTGATCATAAGCTCAAATTGTAGAAACTCATATAAACATGAACCCTTCTCTGAGCATAAGTAAGAAAACACTTTGTTTTGGCTTGTTTCTCAGACCTCTCAGAAGCCTTCTGCAGGCATCATGTGGCTTGATGCCAAACTTTGTGTATCATCACTGCAGGGAACCACAATCCTAAGAAACTGTTTGGATTTCTTTTTTTTACTTTGCAATTTTGTCAGGCTTTATGATTTAACATAAACTGATGAAGAATGTTGTAGGAGCCTTGACTCTTTAGGAAGAGATGGTATACCAGTGCACCAGCTCCTCCCACCTGTCCTACCGTGGCAGTGTTGAAGACAGCACTGCAGGGCCTGCTAATGTGCGTGAAATACCATTCCTGACATAAATGTTATTGACAAACTTGGCTGGACATTTGGGGCAGGAACTGCCAACATATTTAATGCATATTCATCTCCTTTATCCCACTGGTCTTGCCAGAGCACCCAAGCTGTGTCATCTTGCCACACTCCAGCTACCACCCAAATGTATAGTGACACTGATTATGCAAATCTGTGTCTTGTTTTTCCCCCAATACCTGCATTAGGAGCTTGCTACTTTATTGAGGTTGAGATATGGGCCACAGAGGGGAACCAAGTGGAATGCTGATTTTTTTTTTTTTTTTATAATCTGTGGGAATCTTTTACAGTTTTAAATTTCTACACTTCATAACAGTTGTCACATTAAGGGGGGGATAAGATGAGAACATACTTTGATGCTAAGGCATATGTTGTAAATCTTAGCAGGATGGATTTAAGCAGAAATAAAAAGTTTGGGTTTGAGCTCATGATGGTTGCTGTCTGCCAAGCTTTACTAAGTTTGATTTTTGGTTTATTTTTCACAGTGTTTGGAATACCTGAGTCAGAAGTAGAAAGAAGAATACCGATATGTACAGTACTTGATTTCATCCAAAGGGTCAGTTGCTCACTATTACAGTCAATGCAGACACTTTTGGTTTAATAAGTTATTAAAGATTTAAAAAAATTAAAAAATCAACTGCCACAGCTTTTTCCTGAAAATGTCCCCTGTTGTTCTTACTTTGCACTAAGATCCTGCTTCTGAATTGTACTGTATTTGATTTCAGTTCAGCACAAATAAAAAAAATCCATTTACCTCCATTATTTTAGGATAGAAGTCGAAATGTCAGATACTGATATGAAGACAAATAACCACAAACTACAAATCTACACAGCAAACATATCACAGTGAAACAAACAAGAAAATATTTATTTATTCAATGGGTGAATATGATCAATATCTTTTCATGACCCAGCTTACGATATTGCCTATGGCTGACAACGCTCTCCCACTTAGCTGATCATTGCTCTCTGCTCTTGCTGTTACCAGGTTTTATTCCTCCTCCTTGCCTTCGCCGACTGCTCACCCTCCTCACACACTTGGCCCCGTATTGCCTGGGGTCAGCCATTGAATACAGTATACGCAGTGTGTGCTGATCCTCCAAATTGCCATGTGTGAAATCCATCCCACTCGCTCCTGGGGGAGTAGTCATATCACTCAAAATGAAACTGCCTCTCGTATCCTCCCCTTATTCTTCTGCTTGCCTGTTCTCTCCGGCCGCCTGGGATCTTGCAGTTGTGAGGCTTTATAGTGGAAGCCTATTAGACAAATCTTAGAAGAATGCAGTCTAGGTGCGGTGATACCAGGTTGTCACAGTGCTCTGCAGACATATATAAATATATCAGTCATGCTAGCTTGGAGGTCTCACTGAATTATTATTATTATATTTTTTCCTGTTTTGCTATAAATGCAGTGGAGGGGGTTGTATTTCATATAGAAGAAAATTGCATCAGGTTCAAGAGAAAATGCTTCGTTAGATTTATTAATAACTTCTGTCATAGTGTCTTAGCCAATGTGGGGTTAAAGCTATTGGGACGTCAGAAATGATTAGGATCTGTTTTCATGCATGAAGTCGCTTTCTATCTCTTTTAAGTATGATGTTCTCCATTTGAGCATCCGCACATTATTATGAGCTTCAGCCTAAACACCGCCGTCACCTGTGCCTCTCCTCATCTCATCTGTCACAATATTTTTCTGTTTTCCACCTGTGAGGATCTACAGGCAGAGTGCAGGCTGCCCTCTGTCAAACCACGGAGAGAAGCGAGCAGATGTAAAAGAAAGATAGGACAGAGACGTTAAATTGCATTATAGCTATTATGTTGTAAAGATAGATCTCCCTGCAGCTGGCAGTGCAGAGCAGCGCATGCGCCTGTAGCTCCTAATGAGCCTGCGTGGAGGGACCTGTGTGGAAACAAAAGGCTTTGCTTTGCTCGGCCATACTAGACCCCTCCACCCGTCCCCTTGCTGCTCCCCCAGCCCTGAGCGTGACAGACCAAGAGCAGAGTGCCGGTCCCTTCCTGGTGGCGTGATTAGATTGGGGCCGAAGTCTCCAGCTGGCAGGCCTGTCTGTGACTGGAGGCGGCAGTCCCCAGCGCTTGTCACTGGCTGACACCTCTGACAGGCAGGGGACAGCTTCAGCAGACAGGTTCATTAAATGGCATTTTTTACAGCTGGGCCTCCAAAAATGAGGGCTGGGCTTTGTCAAATCTTTAAGTCTACAGGGGCCCCTGCGTGTTGGTTTAGACCAAAGCTTTGTTGTTATGACAAATTTTTTGATCTGGGCTGTTTGAAATCAGCTCTTTTTTCTCCTCTTTAGCCTCTCTTTTGTTGACAGCCAGCCCTTTGGCCTGTACTTTGTCATGGCAAAAATAAATTCTCCCTGGGCAACACAAAACAGCCAGTACTAACATATGATGGTCAGTTCAGAGAACTGTATTATGTCCATTTTAAATACACTTTTCAATTCTTAAGAGCCTGAATTTGAGTGTCAGTTGGATAAATCTGTTTTTTAATAATTGCTGTTTGTCACAGTTTTAATCCAACAAAAGGAAAATTCAGGAAGCTAGTTTATTGCACTGTTGAAATAGATTATTGACATGCAGAATGAATAGAGACTTCATTGAAAAATTAAAGCCATTTCAAGTCTCTAGACATCCAAATAACTTAATATGTACTCTAATTGAAGCTTCTGTGTCCCTGACGGAGTGAGCTGTTGGTGCCTTCCCATGATGCATATCTGCATGAGTTGCCTTTCAGCATTGCACTCACAAGACTACTTCCAGAACATCTGGCTGCAGAGCAGGAGGGAGGGGGGGGGATGAAAGCTATACTACCTCCAAGTGAGCTGCTGCCGTCCCTCCATAGTCTGCCTTCAGCTCCACATCCATCCCTCCATCCCACCTCCCTTCCTCTCCAGTCCCCCTCCAGTCAGCACGCTGCCTCCTCTGGGCCCTGCTGTCTCTATGACAACTGTTTGAGTTGGGGGTTGCAGAGGTGTCAGGCAGGGGCATTACTGGGAGGAGAGTACCAGAGATGCTGTGCTGCGCATCCAGCATCTACACCTAATCCAATTTTAATTGAGCTCCAGAGATTTTGGATGTGGCACGGAGGTCGGGCATGCGCTATTCCAGGGAGAAATTAAGGCAGCCCAGCTCGCGCTGCACTCTTCCAGCCTGTCACTATTTTAAATGAGCATTAGCATTAGACCTAACCCAGCTGAACATCTCACTCTGCCTTCGCTCCCTCCCTGCCTGCCTACTCCACCTCAATCACCCCAACGCATGCATATAGACACACACACACACACACACACACACACACACACACACACACACACACACACACACACACACACTCTATTGTACTGTAAGGCCTCACCCCCTTACTGCCCTGTTATATCTTTATTCTCTCACTCTCTGAACTCAACATATGTGTGATTATGTCCTGGGGAGTTGATAAGGTTGCTTCCCAGCTCATCCTGTTGGACAAAATTGTTCAGTCAGAGGGAGGTAGGATGGAAGGAGGTGGGAAAGGTGTGCGAGACCATTCTCACCTGTCAGAACAACTGGCTGTGTGTTGACCTGTCTGCCGCCACAGCAGTGCTACATACTCTAATGATCCTCTGTCTCACTCTGCTCCATGGCAGGACTGTTTGTATTGATTATTTACATGTCACTGAGCCGGGGGTCCATCTTTGATCCCTTGCTTTGAAGTGTTTTGTGGACCAACTTGAGAGGCTGTAAACTTTTGAGAGCGCTTCATACTGTGTAGAAAAAGGGCCTTGAGAGATGGAGTATTGAGTCTGTAATTCTTTCTAATACATTCAAATCAAGATTGTAATATTGATGTTCCATTTTGAATTAAAGCCAAGGAATAGTTATGAAAGTTAGATGTTAATAGAAGAGAACATAATATAACCAAATATTGTTGTTGTGCCGACAAACAAGACAGAAATAATAAAAAGAATGCAACAATAAAATGTTTTGTTTAGCAGCGCAGCAGGAAGTGAATCTAATCGGGGCACATTAACTCCTGGTCTCTGACCTGCAATGGTATCTGGTTTCATAAAGCAATTACATTCAGAAAAAAAAATTATCCTCTGTTTCTGCCCACTTTAGGTCTTGGCATACACCGAGGGTTTACATGGGAAGTGGATGTTCAGCGAGATACGAGCGGTATTCACCAGACGCCACCTCCTGCAGAACACAGCGATGGAGGTCTTCATGGCAAACAGAAGTAGGTCAAAGTGAACTTGAAGTGAAACCATGGTTCTCCAGATGTCCACCACTAATGTGATATCTGACCGTTCCACAGCATCGGTCATGTTCAACTTCCCTGACCAGGCCACAGTAAAGAAAGTGGTCTACAGTCTTCCTCGAGTGGGAGTGGGCACCAGCTATGGTCTTCCACAAGCCAGGTGGGTCACATATTCAAACTATATACAAATATTTCTAATAACATGTAGTCACTCGTGGCTGAGGTTAACTCCACAGAGTTGTGTGTTGGGGCCTCCATGCAGCCTGCAGCAGAGTCATTTGAAGTCTCATTGGTCCAGTCATTGCAGTGCATGTGCGCTGACCCTGACTGAACTGGCCTAATTCCCTGACAGAAGACTTTATACAGCGGTGCTACAGCCAGGCCACTGACCACAGAGAAAACCACTGATTCCCTTTAGACTCTCTCAGTGCTAACAGGCCTGTTATACACTCTAAACAAGTATGCTTCCTCCAGTCTAGCATGTATTTATAGGATGTCATCCAAAAAATAAAATAATGATATATAAAAGTATAGTAAATTATGTTAACTAAGGACTTCCATTTACCAATGATCTTTTATTTAATCTGCTGCTACCAATGCAACAGAAGCCATAATTCTTGTACTTTTCACTTGCAGATGGACATTTGTGTTTGCTCTATCTGCCAGTATTTTTATTTTGAAACTCTCAGTAAAGGCGGGGGTCAGCTGTTAAACTATTTACAGTAAAAGATGAATTTATCCAAGGTTTTTTCTGTCCTTCAAAATCTTGTCATTCTTAAAATAGTGTTCTGTGATATTGCCTGTACTTTGAATTCAAGCAGTTATACATATATATGTAATTTTCATTTATTTTCTAGTTTTATGAATATAAGTTTTATTTTATCTAACACTAACATCCGCCTTCTATTTTCAAATTTGTTGATGAATTATTTGTTTTCAGGCGCATCTCCATGGCCACCCCTCGGCAGCTTTTCAAATCATCCAACATGACCCAGCGCTGGCAGAGGAGAGAGATTTCCAACTTTGAATACCTCATGTTTCTCAACACTATAGCAGGTAAAGTTGAAACTCTTTGATTCTAAAATTAACTTTAAGGTATTGACATTCTGGTAATGTATTTTTTTTTTTATAAAGCCATCAGTGAAATTGATTCTGATTTGTTTTCTTCCTTATCCAGGAGAAAAAGTTGTTACTAGTGAAATATTGAATCTCTTATCTGTGTGAATCTCTTCACCATTAATGTATTGTGACTTAAAGTTTACCTATCATTATCAATACAGTGTGGGTGTGTCAGTGGTGCTACAAACGTGCTAAAAGTGGCCTCATGGATGTCGTGTTTGTTTAAGAATCCCGGTAACCTTAAGCATTGCTCAACATGGTAGACTTCACAGTTCATAGGAGCGCGCTGTTTCAAGCAAAGAGCAGGCACAGCAGATTTTGCCAGATAATTAGCACCAAGCTTTGTGAAAGCGAACATATGTGTGTCTGTGGAGTTGAGAGGTTCTGTTGTCGACTCTCTGATCTGAAGTGCAACTAACAGGGAAGGCGAGAGCGAATGCACACTACACCGCACTGAGAGGTGTCATCCTCTCTCTCACTGCATATTCATGCATATTTATATTTAGCTCGAGCTTGAGTTCGATACATTATTGTCAGCTAATTAGATGTAAGGCAGACAGAAAAACATGCCTAAAATTCATTAAAAACCCTTGGTAATGACCTGGGCTGACAGGGATGTCAGAGCAGTGCGGAGCAGCAGACAGGCGGGGGGTGAAATACTGGGAAGAGGTGTGAATGGGAAGTGGTCTTCTAATTAAACACTATTCCACTATTATTAACATCCTGCCATCCTAACTCAGGCCTCAGAACCACACCAACACCCCCCTACTCATCTTCCACACTCAGTCTGCTGCTTCTTTTACTGTACGGCAATAACATGGATAATTATGCTCTCTAGCTTCCCCCAGACCCAGGACACTCTGCACAAACCTTCCTATTCACAATCCTGTCACAGATAATCGCTCACTCAGCTCGATTTAGATAACCCGATGATAACCTGCTGAGTGAGAGGAGACATGCCTGCTTATATATATTTTTAAGTCATCATTAAAAACTTGTGTCACTGGCAGGCAGAGTATGGAGTATATCTATTGAATGTTCTTATCGAATAGTATTGAATAATATTTTAAACAAAAAAGGATTTAATTTAGATGATTCAATCAACTATGATTTTTTTTTACTTGATTGTTGCTTCAAGCAGTTCTTGTGTTTGTCCTTGCCTAACAGAGAGGGTTAATACTCTAAAGAAGACAATAAAGTCACTGATCTGAATTATTCTTGGATCATCTTCATAAACATCAACCAATCTTAAATAGATTTATTTTCTCCTGCAAATATCTGCAGGAGTGTCTAATCACCTTTAATGGTGTCTGTGAAAGCTCCCTCTAACATTGCTCGAATAAATAGTAACAAGTGATGAAAATCAAACTTGTAAACGAGTGAATGTCAATTGTAAACAGTGCTGAATGTTTTCAAAATGTAGGTCTAGAGATATGAAATAACTTAAAGATAGTCAAATTAATGTGTATAATACTGAGGAAGTCAACAATATGCTGACAGTTTATTCAGTGAAGTCACTGCAACATTTTAATGAGCTTGAGAGCTCACGAGCTCAACAGTCTTACGGCTTGTGGGATGACGCTGTCCTGAGCCTGGTGGGACCTGAAGCTGTGGTACCTTCTGCTAGACAGCAGCAGGCAGAACAGTATGTGGCTCTGGTGGCTGCGGTCTTTGATGAACTTGTTAACCTCTCAGTGGTGCTCCTGTAAAAGTTGTAGAGTGTCCTGGAGTCCATATTAAGCCTCTGCAAGAACCTGAAGCTGCTGACTCTCAGCTGTAGTCCCATGGATGTGTTCTTCATCCGGTTGCTTTCTGTAGTTCACAGTCGGCTCTTCTCACTTCTGTGACATTGAGATGGAGATTCTGCCCTGGCAACAAGAAGTCTGGGCCCTTACCTCCTCTCTGGATGCTGTCTGAGTGGTCAGGCCAATGCACGAGCATGGTGACTCATTTTGAGGCAACAGTTGAATTAAAAGGAGAGTCATAGACAGTAATCGGCATTTTACCATGTGTGGGTAAAAGGTTATGTGGAGGTTATGTGTCTATGGCGTTGCTTGTTAATCTGTTTGCTTTGTTTGTAACCTGAAGTGGTTCCAGTGAGTCAAGGAAAGAGGAGGTGATGACCAATCTTTCAAAAGCACCACAAGAAGTCTGTATTGGAATGATTGCAGTCAGTGCTACCCAAACTTTGTTGTTTTTTGGGACATGTGGTCTTTCTGAAACACGAGAGGATTACCGGATAGAGCAGTTAGAGATTCAAAATGTCCGAGAGAGCATTCACCAGGTGATCTGTAAACACCTTCAGAGCTTCATGTCCTGGAACCTTGCATGGATTGATCCCTTCAAAGAGCTTTGCACATCTGCCCTGGCTATTACTAGTGTGCGAGGGATTATGGGCCTTGTGTAACCCCCATGACCTCAAAGATGATTCCAGTATTTAAATTAAATAAAGAAATAAATGAAATGGTGATTCTATAGAATACATTGAAGGTATTAAATCAATATGATACTTATGCTTTGGTCTCACTTTTTAGTTTTTTAATGTCCTGTTGTTTTCAAATTGTTTATGTTGTTTTTATGTTTTTATGAACTGTTGAACAGCATTTTGGTACAAGTGCTTCGTTATACATTTGGATTAGATTGAACTGGATAATCTGGGGTGGATGCAGATACAGTGTATATCAGCACTGCTGGTTTTCTATTGTACACAGTTTTAGTCCTCAGCACTAGCCCATGTTTTCTTTTGCTGGAGCCCCAGTATTTAAACTCCATATTTTCCCTGAATTGTTTAAGTACTGCTAAGACCTCTCCGGAGCTGGTGGATGAAATAAAATGTTTGACTTGCTATGAGCCTTTTATTTTAAGCATGATTTATTACCAGTAGTAAAAATTCCAACAAAACCATCCAAAACAGCCCTGTCCCAATCCTGGATTATGACTGGCCACCACCTGACCTCACAGCTGTATCAGTGTCATCTTCAAAAGAAAAGCATTAATGACAAGATGGTACATGTTCTTGGCTTTCCCATGAATTTCCTTTGACACGTTTTACCATCTGAAAACCATATTCCCACTGCCAGAGCACAGAGGGGATTTACATCTGGCCATTCGGCGCATCAGACTTCTGGTGACATTTGAGGCGTCTGAAGTCATGGCACTGGGAGGAATCCACATCCCTCAAACGACATCAACACCTCACGGCTGAGATATACCTCTGCTCTCTGTAAACTTAAAGAAGGACTCCTCTGGCTTCCTGTAATTCCATAGATAAAGTACACTCAACAGGAAATGGGGAGCACAGAAAAAAAATCTCTCATAGCAGAAAGCATGCCATTAGTGTACATGTTTTGCTAGACTCTGTATGAGGCAGGAAGTGCGTCTGATTGAGGGCCCTGAGAATGGGGACTCGTTGGAATGTTGCATGCTGATCCCCAAAAGTAACTGAAGCCTTGAGTGTACCCTGCCCCGCTTTCAACCCCTCTCTTCCCTTCCAACCCTTCATCACTCACAGATTTCTGTCTACTTTGTGTGTCTAGGGAGGACATACAATGACTTGAATCAGTACCCGGTCTTTCCCTGGGTCCTCACCAACTACGACACAGAGGAGCTTGACCTGACCTTACCGGGGAACTTCAGAGATCTCTCAAAGGTACGTCGGACCAAAGGCCATTCACCACAGTATGATAGAGAGAGAGGAGGAGCTAGTAGCGGCCACGGGTTCTGTCTCAGATGTCCTTATAAGGCAAATACTGTAAAAGAACATCATATTTATTTTCTTTGTGAGTCATTTTCTGAGTTTAAACTCACGAGTTAGAAAGTTGAAAAAGCTGATTGAAACACTTTAAATGCACTCAAGTGTGATATGTAAGATGTCTACCGTGTTATTTGGTATTCTGTTGTCTGAGCATTTGACAAAGACAGTAAATGTTAAAGCCCTCATTTTTATTTAAACAGGGGATCACATTCCCACTTGGAGTTGAAAAGGATGACTCAAAGTAAGGGCCCATGGGAATAATCGGCCATCACTGCAGTTTTCCTCACTTCCTCACTTCTTTCTGTGTCTTTCAGCTCATTGTTTTGGTTTTCAGGTGACTCACTTTTATGTTTGGCTGGCTACAATCAGTCTATAAATGATGCAAGAAGAAGTTAACGACAAGTTGGTGAATGTAAAGGAACATACAGAGTTGGATATTTATCACGAGAGAATGTTGGATTTACATGAGTGGCCAGAGACTCTCCTAAATGAATGCTGCTGTTGCTACTTCTCTATTTGATGCATGAATAACAAAGGTCTTGCTTAAAGCCCCTGTGAGGAGTTTTTAGCTGGTGATGAAACAGACTGAAATTAATACTGATGTCTCTGTATGACCTACAAAAGAAAACCAAACTGAAGAGAATGTAGATTTTTTTTTATATATATAGTTGTTAGATATGCTTGTCACCTCTTGCTGCAGGGTAGGTGTCAGCCCAAGGAGATTGACAGCACACTGGTTATGTTAGACATTTAAAATAAAGAATGATGAGATTGTTTTGTCAGAAAACACTACTTACACAGGTACAGGACAAGATAAACAAAGAGAGACATTTTCACACTTTGTCCGAAGGGGTCGCCAAACTCATGTCAACCTAAAACTTCCTCAAAGGTGATTTAAAGCTTCACCATAAAAGCTCCGAGCGCCATTGAAAAATGTCAATGCATTGTCTACAACTTGATTTCACTGCTGTTATTCCAGGTTGTTATTATACAGTATATCATGATACAGCTGTCTAGAGTGATCATAACAAATAATCTAATTGATTTCTCAAGCAGTGGGCTTTGTTCAAAACCAAACTAACAAGAACTTCAGCTGCTCACATAATGTTGACCTGACTTTGTCTTTAAAACATATTTTTACAAAAAATCACATACTGTCATGTCAAAAATAAAGCATAATTGCATCATTTATACAGAGAGTCTTCAAGTTGAAATCTCAGTGATTAAGTTTCAGTTTGGATTTGACTTCCAAGCTAATGAAGAATTAAAAACAGGTCATTAGCTCAGGGTTTCAGTGAAAGTTGTTCTAAATATGGCAGGTCCAAAATGCATCAAGCTGTGTTGTAGCATGAATCCTGCTAACGCTGCCAAATCGAAAAGGCTCAGATACAATGATGCTAATGCCCCTGAACATGAAGTTCAGAGTTATGTGTGCTCAGATTTTGACTGAAGAGGCGCAGGCAGTAGATCACTCTACCACTAACTGTGCCCTGGTTTACTTGTTTATCACCCCCACCCCCTTCTTTTTCTGTCTCTCTGGTTCCCTTGCACATGCAAACTTCAGCTCACTGACCTGAAAACAGTCACATTCCTGCCTGAGCTCCCTCTCTCTTCCACTCTTTTTATCGTTCCCTCATTCCCCCTCGTTTTCCTCATGGAGCCACTTTGCAAATCTCACTTCTTAGCAGTTTGTATCAATTTACTGTGTTTTTTTTCCTGGCATGTGTGCTGTGTTTTGGTAGTTTGTGAGGAGGAGAAGTATAAAAGGTAAAAGAAGGAAAATTAGTTCGAAGCATTCAAAGAATCATGATCGAGATGTAGGATAGAGCTCTGATTTTGTCCCACTTCCATTTTACTGTACCAGAACCTTTTGGACAAACAGCCCAGTTGTGTGTCTTGCCAAAATCACCCAAACACTTGTCTGCTTTTTGGTGGCTCTGGTCTGTTGGGCATCCAGGTGGGCTGAGAGAGCCACTGGATGAGTGTGTTCGGGGTGGGGGGGAGAGACGGGGGGGGGGGGGGGGGGGGTGATCAGGGCTGAGCCATGTGCGCCTGTCCTGCCCTGGGGAGACAGTTATGTATTGTAATGTATTCCAGTGACATCCTCTCATGCTGTTTACAGGGCTGAGCTGCCTTCATTAGCATGAGTTCACAGCCCGAGTCTCCTGACAGTTGTCCTTGGAACCCCGGGGCTCTTACCTCCAAAAGTTCACTGCTAGTGTAGCAGGGAGGGACAGAGGCCCCCACACATCCCCTCCCTGCTTGGCCTGCCCTTTTGTTCAATTATGGATCAGAGGTAGCAGCACTGTCTCTAGAGTCTTGTCCATTGCATATTACACTGTGAGTGTGTCTCTAAGGTGTATGCTCAGGCTGTGTGCGGTGACTACAGTGAGACTAGTTATCATTTCAAATGTTCATATACCAAATACGTGTTTTGGCACCAGTGCAAATAGCATACTATTACTGTTTCTCTTTCATCCAACATTAAAGCCAAACTTCACAAAATGCAGTGCTGTCACGACCCTGCTTAACAACTTTGTTTGGAGAAATTAGCTTCAAGAGGGCAAAATGAAACAAAGGGCTTTCTGAGACTGTAAGCTGTGATGGTACAAACAAGCATTCAATGCTGGTTGACATTCTTAATTTTTTTTAATTATGGTAATGTTTCTTTTTAAAAGATGTTTCTTTCTGTTCCAAAACGTTGTCGTTGCAGTTAGCTTTTGATTCATTTCCTGTTTAATTTGTATGTTTTTGTTTTTTCTGCAGTTAAAATATCAAGTCTCCTCATGTAATATCATCCGTCACTCGAGTGCTCAGTGAGCTGCAGTATTATGAAGTTCTATTGTCATGTTATTACTAAGGGTACACTTGATCAAGCTAAACTGTAATTGCAAACCAATTATATGAACTGAAGCGTTATTAATACTCCTAAAAGTCTCTCGGATGGTCCCACACTGGCATTCCATGGTTTGGGAGGATTTATTTCCCACAAGTTTGGAGTCATACCCAAGACCTGTTAGTCAACTAGTAGCCACTTTGATTGACAGCTTTGTTGAATCTGCAGGAGCTCAGCCACCCAAACCTTCTGCACACACACCTACAATTACCTGCTGGTTGGGCATTCAGTCAGCTGTGAACAGTGCATTGAACAGTGCGTTGCTTTGCCTCGGGGCGAGACATCTGCATATTTGGATGTCAGATACATCCGTGCAGTGAAGGGTTTCATTAGATTCTAATGATTATTTTGTAATGAATTGACAAGGGGATGATAGATAGGCGGAAGCTTATTTTCCTCATAGCTGTTCAATGAGGTGATTTAAATTTGTTTAATTGCATGAGAAGTTGAAGGAAGCAGATGTGGTAGAATTCTGTTTCTCGACCCATTGACAAAAATGTGTGTCAGTTTAAAAAAAATATATTCCTCACTGAAATGTTGCATAAGGACTTTTCTAAACCCATTAAATTAAAAGAGTTTACATAATAATTTGAGTAACAATGATCATGTCAACTTTTACCCTTAGACGTCACGCACTGAACAAGTTCTCTCCTTCTGGAAGCTTCTGCTGAGGCACTTAGTAACAACTGAGAATCTCTACTGGATATACTCTGAGTTAAGAAGACAGAACTCTGCTGCTGTATAAAAAAAACATCTCCTACTTTCTTCCCATTATGGAGCCTTCTTCACCCACACTTCCACTCCAGTCAGGCTGTTTGTGAGCCCATCTGCTTTATCTTGAGTTTGAGCATTTGATTGCATTAGACTGGAGCCGCATGCAGCCCGACAAGGCAAGCAAAAACAGCTCCGACTTCTACTGACAGAGCACCAGAGCAACACACTGTAATGTTATTTATTTTGAAATATAAAATGCAATATGCGTCTCTTTGGAAGCTAGCCTATATACACACAAACAAAGTGAGGCACGATGGCGATGTTTATTTCCTGCTTCTTTGGAGTGCAACACCACAAATGATCCTGATTGTCTGAGAGAACAAAACTTAGTTTGATCACACTTTGTTCAGTTGTGGTGATATGATTCACTGGGTCAGGTGTTATAAAAGAAATGAAAACTGATGGTAGCAGGTTTGAAAATATTTTATGAACCTGGTGTTTTCATTGTCCCTCTGCACGAGGAGGAGATGATAATTCATGTATAAAGGTACTTGTGATTAGGGTTAGGGTTAGTGCTAACGCTATCTTATCATTAGTGGTGTTCTCTGGTTGTTATTTGTCATTGAACATTGAAGTTTATTTCTTATATTTCTGGCTTTTTGTCTTCAAGACAGAAGCATGTTCTGTATATGGCACATTATATTCAAAATGCTTATCTAGTATTTGAAATTTTCATACAGAATATTTAGTTTCGTTGATGTACAATTCATGTGTAAGAGATTTTGTCGTCTTAACCTTTAAAAATCCTCAGTGTACAGTTTCCTTTAAGCTGGCCGTACCCAGTGATAAAACAAATTCAGTCATGTAGATGCAATGTCACGATCAGCGATGCTAGCACAAATTATTCTTGCTCAACATCCACTAAACTTTATAAGAAAACAAATAAAAGCAATCTTAATTGTAAACACAAATCACAGAGGTAATATGTCATTAGTTTGCTTCTTCAGCTGAGTGACTTTGGAACAGTGAGAATGTTTTTGCTTCATGCTGTGTCGGATAAGAAATGAAAAAAAATAATAACTTGTCAGTCTTTGCATAGATGAACTGTAACCTGACATTTCATTCAGTACTTCTTTGTGCTTTATGCAAAGGGTCTGATGGAAATGGAGTGGCATTTTTTTTTTTCTGGATGTACCTGATTTTCATATTTTAAATGTAATATCCTGTTAGGCGCGATAATCATTTCCATATTACATTTTAATGCCAAAAAAACCTGACTACGTGTTTTCCAACTTCTTCTGATTTTATTATATTAAAATGGGAAGGAAAAATGTAATAACCTATTTTGGGCTCGGGTTCTGATCATTTTTGTGCGAGCAGTTTACTTACTCTTCTCTAACACTCATTGCTATAACCTGCTGCTGTCTTTTACTTATTTGTTTCCCTCTGTCACATGGATGTTTTATACTCGTTCAGAATCTTTTACCTCTTGCATTAGTTACTTTAGCCACAGTTTTACGGAGTGCCAGACGTCTTGTGGCTTGCACCCTGAGCCAGCTGGCCCAAGACGTCACATGCAGGACTATTATCACCCCATAAATCTATGCAGATCTCAATAAACTTCTCTTTCAGTCTATTCAATTGTGCTAACACTGATGTGGACTGCCATTAAATTTTAAGGAAGACCAAAAAAAAAAAAAGGGCCTGGTCACATTTAATTTAGACTCAGGCATGTGCACTGTGCCACACACACACAACTATAATCTTGAAAAGGATCAAAAGAGTGTGTGTGGAGCGCCATGGCTGCTTACAAATACCCAGAGAATAACAGTGTTATTTTAATAAAGTTAGAATTAGTGGCTTACTTTTAGGCAGAAGTAATTTTTGAATGGAGTGATTTTATATCCTCGAGCTGCAGCTTTCAGGTAAAAAAAAAAAAAAAAGCTGCAATTGATTACATTAGCAGTCTCCCTTCCCTTTTTGTAAGCGATTCAGTGAGACTGAGTATATTAATATTGACTGCCAATATGCCTTCGAGGCTCTCATATTGGACAAGATGATTGAAAGGGCAGAGAAAGCAATTTATTCACCACTAAATTTATTTTTAATGGGGTAATTTTGTTGCCTCAACAACACATAAAACAGAAAAAGCCCTCAAAGGGGAAACGTCATGGTGTCAATAAAATATTGAAATGATTACTGAGGTTGTTGAACAGTGAATAACACTATCCCGATGTTTAAAAAAAAAATATATATATCTATTGAGCAAGTAAATTTAACATACATTGAACATAAACATTCAGACTCGTTTTCATGAACATTACAATTGTGGATGAAACCCTAGAGTTGTTAGGAGCTCAGATATTTTCATAGGCACAAAGGTAAAGGTTAACAAAGACATAAAGTGCAATAACATCCAATAATAAAGATCAAACAAACAAGTGAAATAAAAAGCAATAAAATAAATAACCCACTTTATCGTCTACCCTCCCACTTCGCTCCTTCACCTTCACTCTTCAACTATCAATTTCCAAATGTTGCTTAACTCTCCATGAATGTTTTTGGTTTTTCTCATAACTAGAACATCGATGTAGTTCCATATTAGAAAGTTTTTTGCTATAAATATACAAGAGTTTTTAGTCAGGTGTTTAGTATTTATAAAACTAATGTTGATCCAGTTCTACTGAAATTGAAACTATAGCTTTGGGTGTTAGATTATAATATTGCATTGCTTTACTTTTTTTAAAAATTCAAGTTACACCCATCAACAGTGCACAGTGCCCAGTAGCACAGACTGCAGTAGCAGTTCTGAGTGAAGTATGGCTTGGTGGGTGTGTTGGGTGTAAATCAGGTCAGCCAGGGTTAATCCACATGGATTAGCCACAACATTTAGCAGCAGACGCTCATATCTCCTTCCACTCTCAGAGCACCATCCTGCTCCCCCATGCCACCATACCCCTGTAAATTTTAGACAGCCCAACAGGAACTTTTTAGGGTTCAGGAGAATAATGGGCTCTGACAGACAAATCCCAGAGTAAAGCTCCTTGTCTGCCCCAGCCTCTCCCCCAGACTCTCTACCAGCTTCACCACATGTAGCCTAGTAGGAAACTACTAAGACTCTGCAAGTCTATCTTTCTCAATTATACTCAATTATACTGTACCAATCCATGGGGTTACCTAACACAAGGAACTAAACTTTAAGACTAAGAAGTTCTGTAGCTTCATTTAAGGCCTTCAATAAATTCCCCCACAGTTAGAACATCACGTGCCTCGAGTTTGGCAGCATATTATCTGTGTCACTCGATGAAAACTCCATATGGTCTACATGTTCTTACTGCCAATTGGTAGTTCCACCAAAGTCTTTTTCTAAGAAAAAACATCCTTCACCACCTACTATGGGCTTATACATTTTTTTTTTTAATTATTGGTTCTGTAATCTAATTACATGTCTAGTAAAATCCTATCAAAAGAGAGATTATTTTTCATGAAGTTTTGACTGTGACTTGTGTGCATCCTCAATGATCAAGTCCTTATGTGAGTGCAGACTTTGACAGTTATAGCTTTTGCAAGAAAAACGTGTATCATGAGAAAAATGTCAGAGCAAAAATAGAACATGAAAAAAACACACCTGATCACACTCATTTCATTCTAAATAAAGAGGTCTATTTACATTTCCTGTTATGTTCTTACAGTGTCCCGCAGTCATTTATTGTATCGATCTTAAAATCTTCAAACTTGACCATGAAGCCTTTCACTAACTTGTCTTATACTATGTTGTTGAAATGCTGCCCAGAAGTGTGCCTGTTACAGTCCTCAGATCTTCAGACGGGAGCTTTGGACACATTTCATGTTTTGGTTTTCTGAAGACAAACGGAAGTGTTCTTCTTTTGAAAATGAAAAGGGTTCATACATAAAGACCCACAGCTGACTTTTATGCCAGTATGACAGCTGTAATCGATGCACCAAAAGCATCTGTGGTTTATTAGAATATAAAAAGAATTGTAGTAATCAATAAAGATAAAATGACCCAAAAGTATTTCTTATTATATTGAGATTATAAATTATTTATTTATTTCTGCTTTGAGTGTTACCATTTTAGTGTAAAAAATGAAAAGCATGTTTGTAAGACTGTTTATTTTTCTGATAAAGAGTACGACCAGTGAGAATGTCCTCTGTTTACACAACACAAGTCAGAACTAAAAAAATTTCTAAGCATGTAAACCTCTTTTTTAAGCATCTAGGTGTGTAAGCATGAGTCTCCTTCTCAAAGCAAACATTTCTAGAACAAACTTGTAGAGACACAACTTCTCTTCATGAACTAAACCTCTTATTTCCTCTCCAGCCTGTTGGTGCTCTGAATCCGAAGCGTGCAGCTTTCTTCAATGAACACTATGAGAATTGGGAAGACGACCAGACACCACCATGTCATTACATCTCCCACTACTCCACAGCAGCTACCACCTTGCACTGGCTTGTCAGAATAGTGAGTGAAATCACTTCTTCAGCTGCCTTCAACGCCATTATTGTACTGTGTTTCAAATCTTCAAATTAGCGTCGAACATCTGAATAGGAATGAAGTCAAGCCCACATTCTCAGACAGCTTTTCATTTTTGACTCTGCGTTAGTTGATTGTCACTTGTCAGACTTGATGATGCTGTTACTTTGAGGTCTGTTGGCTTCTGCACAGGAAACAGCTCCACATCTCAATTTGATTGGGCCTGAGTTAGACCAATGGCGCTCAGAAAACACATTTCACAGGCCAGTAAACCAGCATATGTGAACTAAATAAAGAGTGGCTGGGTAATGATTTACAGAGGCTGCTGTGACAGGTTTATGTGTTTCAGGCAACCCAGTGAGCGCTGGAGACATGTCCATCAAGGTTACTGAGCACTGTCCTCATTTACTCTGGAAGAGAAGGAGGAAACACGCAAGCTCTGTCCCAATCTGTTTCCCACAAACCAGTCCCTTGTAGACTGCACAGCTTTTTTTGAGTTGGTTTTGATTTTGAAGTCAGCTTCTTAATTTGAGAGTTTTCTCTCGAGCATGTACTGTATTTCTCGTCCTCCCCCATCATTAGTAGAAAGGGGGTGATGAACTAAGGGAGCTCTCTTGACAGCAGTTGGATTGTCCTCTGTGGGTTTGTTCCCACAATCCCTTTCTTCCGCTGGTGAGTGATCCATCCGCTCCAACCGGCAATGGTCGCCATCTCAGGCTGAGAAAACCAAATTTGAGCCAATTATCATTATGGCTTGCTCTACTCAGGAAGAACACTAATTAATTCCCCCCCAGGCTTGGATACATTGAAAGACTGATCTCCACAGAGATCCCCATGTCTGCAGCAGAAAATGACAATGGAAAGTACAGATTATTCAGACTATTCATAGGAATATTAATAAATGGCATGGTAATCCTTTAATTTCAGAAGCGTTATGGAATCGTCATTATTTTGAGTAGGATTTTTGCAATCAAAAATCAGATAATGAAGCAGGCACTGATGCCTCTAAATCTTTGGCCTTTGTGATGTCTTATTTGCTTTCTCTGCAGGAGCCCTTCACCACCTTTTTCCTCTCCGCCAACAACAAATTTGACCATCCTGAGCGCACGTTTTCAGGCATCGCCCGCTCCTGGAGAAACTGTCAGAGGGACACATCTGAGGTCAAGGTGAGAATCAGTAGAAAAACAAATAGTTCATGCAACTGACAACTGTGCATTTACATATATGATCATGAACTGTTTTGGTCTGTAAATGTGCTTTTAGGATACCGCAGGCTTGTGTTATTTACTTTGGTTAGATGTTTATTGTAAATCTTAAAATATACTCCACACCATATCTTACAGCCAAACATTACAGGCAGTATAACCATATTACCAAGCCTCTAACTCACTAAATCCCTCCTCCTCTACCATTAACTTCAAAAGTCCTGCAAAAATATATACCATTAATAATAAATGCCTTATTCAAACAGCGACTCACAAAGACACACAGTGTTCAGTTATACCCTTAGCACTTAAAAATGCACATTTTATATATTTCATAGAGAAAAACTATCTCATAGGTAGACTGATGTTGTATCTCTGCATGCAAGCACTCATGAGTTTGAACAAAGGCTGTGTCTGAGAGAAAGACAAAGCCCTCCCTCTGCAAGTCCACAGAGCAGTTACTGAAAACGCTGAACCCTGCTGATTCGCCTCCATTTTGCCCACTGAGTAACACGCAGCAGGAATATGCACTGACCTCAAAGTGTCATATATTTCTAGCACACCCTGCATCGGGTAGTGTTGCCCCAGGCAATTAATAAAGCATTAATGACAAAAGCTATTTAAAATGTAGTCTTTTATGTACGGACAGGGTTTTTACTCGCCAGGATCTAAGGGAGAGCAGCCAACAATCTATGTGAAGCAGAGGCAGAAAGCAGCCAGCCAGGGAACAGCTGAATAGTCAAACGCCACCCTGTTAACAAATACAGCCTACTTTCAACTACTTGTATGTCTGCATGCATTTGTTTTTACACACATAAGACGGCCACTGATCTATTAAGAGAGGTAGTGTACTGTGCAGGACGATGCTGGATTACTAAAAGTATTTCATTATGTATTAGCAACATTACATATTATGCAAGAGCTTGTTTGGTTTCCATATGGTACAATATGGGTAAACTATGACACAATGCCACTATAATAACAGATCAGATCATTCATATTTACAGTGGGCTTTTTTTGTAATTTCCTTTTTCAATTATTCTCTTTCATAACATTCCTCTCAACCCAGTTTTTAATTTGATTCTATAACTATATCATTTTGAACATAGTATTATTAAGAATGTGGGTTGAACAGCATAAACATATCCTAATAAAAAAAAAAAAGAGAAAATTCAAACATATGTAGGTGTTCATGTATGCTAGAATGAAGGCACAGAGGCACCACGTAGAGACTGAGACTGAGCGGAGAGTCAGGGGTTAAGGTCAGCTTTGGACCAGTACACCGAGCGAGCCATCGTGCCTCTGATTAAAAGCCAGCTTGTTTTTACCAGGGTCTCTCCTTCATTAACCTCGGCCCCCTCCAGCAGTAATGACGACAAGACCGAAGGAGGCTGAACCCCTGATGGGGATGACCTCCTAAAAGAGCAAGTCAAATGGAAACAATCCTGCGCCGACCAAGCCCTCACCTCGTCGACCACCCCATCATTATTGTGCATCTATACCTCTCTTTTATATCTGCGTTCCTACTCACTCATGTAAAGCTGGCAAAGCCACAACTGGCAGACTGAAGCAGACTTTTTGTGAACGTAGTGGGCACACACACACACACGCACACGCACACACACACACACACACACACACACACACACAGGAACTGCCACCATGCTGTCTGAAGGAATCCAGCAGCACTCCACCGGTGACAGATTTTGACGAACATGTCATTAAGGTGACACAGTGTAAAGCAATGGAGGCTTGTGTGATTGACTTGTTAGCCCATTACGATGCTGTTGCAGAATTAATGGCTGCCATGGGAGGGTGGCTTGAAAACAGAGCTGGCAGTTTTAACGGCTTGGCTGTGAGTTACGGCAGGAAGTTTACAGACAGAAAAGTGGAGGGAAGTGCGTGTGTGTGTGTGTGAGAGAGAGAGAAAGAGACAGAGGAAAACAGAGAGGAATGTCTACTTTACTCGCTTCCCTGTCGTGTGCTTAGGGTGAAATGTGACCAACAGCAGACTAGCAGTGTTATTGGCCTGTACCGCGTCATGCTAACTTGCTTTCTCAAAACCCAGTGATTTATGGGTGCCTAAAAGCTCTGCACGTAATGTATCCCACAGGCAATATAAAAGTCCATATTACCTCTGAATCTGACAAACAGTGCATTCATAAAACAAGCCCAATACAAGGAGTTAAATCTCAGGCTAAGAGGCAGACAGCCACATTTAACCCGTCTAGGTGTATGTTTTCTAATGAGGACAGAGAAGAGGATCTGCATTCCTTGTGTGCATATGCTTCATTGTGCAGAGGCTTTGCTCACTCATCCTCTCTTGGCTGCATAATCAGGAAGTTCAGGGTAGGAGCAGCAAAATTATACTTCACACTTGAGCTATTTAAGCATGCCAATTCTTTTTATTTTTTTTATAATTGAGTACTTTCCATCCAGGCAGCCAATATTGAAGTACTATGAAAGTTATAACTAGACAAAAGTGATAGCTATTCAGTAGACATTTTCTCATTTCTTTGTCCTATGTTTTTTTTTTTTTTTTGCAGAGATCATTTTTTCCAGAATATATTTTTTTAAAAATGTTCTTGCTTTTAAAAGTTGTATCTACATTTTTGAGTCAGCTGCCAAAGTTTGTTTGCCCAACCTCTGTTTTTGAAAGAACAAACCCAAAACCCAAATAATGAACAGACATGAAGGATTCAAGAGTTTTAAAGCAGTGTTAGGGCCAAAAAATATAGGCGTCAAAATGTTCACTGTTGTTGACTGTATGTTTAGCAAGTTATTAAAGTTGATGTTCGAGTTATATAAATGGTAACTTGGTAGGTTAAGGTTTAAAATCATATAATGAGCTTTGGGAAATGCTATGCAGCAATGTAAAGAGTACATTTGTTACAAAAACAACAGGACGGTCTTTCAGCACAGAGAAATGTCTTGCTTAGCTTTTCTCACACTGGGGTAAATATTTGCCCTCTTCTTGGATGTATGGACTCACACCAGTCTTTATGTAAGGGGCTCCTTTACAGTGCCGACTTCCTCTCCACTGCGAGGTCCTGACCTCATCACAAGAGCCCAGAGACCAGGCAGAAAAACCCAACACAGTTCCAGTTTCATTTAACACACCTAACACTTCTGCCTGGAATAACTGGACTAGCACCTCTCACCGCCTTCTCGGGGCCTGCTGTGTAGTTTGTTTGTGTTACCTTTCCCCCCGGACTCTCACTTCATTTCAGTGGTGTTTGTGTTGCTTTGTCCTCACGTTTTATGTCTAGCTTTGTTCTGAATTGTTTGGCGATGATATCGTGAAAACTGTCATATCAGATGCAGTCCTGTCAGTGATTCTGTAAAACATGAACATCTCTCCTTCTTTCAAACACAGGAACTGATTCCTGAGTTCTACTACCTCCCAGAGATGTTTGTCAACAGTAATGGATACCATCTGGGCATGAGGGAAGACAGGACCATGGTCTGTGATGTGGACTTGCCAGCCTGGGCCAAAAAACCTGAAGACCTTGTCAGGATCAACAGGATGGTAAGCTTTGGGTATTTGTAACAATCTGAAATAATGTATTTATTTTAGCTAAATTAAAGACAGGCAGATACCCTCCCTTTCTACGAGACCATATGTATGGCAGTCAACAGGCAAGAGCCAAAGAATTTTTGATCACTTTAAAATTGTTTCATTTTGATTCCTTGCCATTTAAATTTGTAGCACTGACACAAATGTTCAACATTTCCAATAATTATTTAGACAGATAGCAAAAGTATATTAATTATTGTTCCATTTATAGACATATTTCCATCAGCTAATATTAAATGTAACTCTTACACAATTTAGTTAGATTATGCAGTGTGCCATACAGTATACTGTACGACACAGGGAGGATGCCATTTTACACAAATGTTCTATTTTTGTACTTAAACTACCACAACATGTAAATGTTGTAAAGAATATTGTGAAGATATTTTCTTTTTAAAATCACTTTCAATTCCTACTTCCCTGTCAGCAGCAAAGAAATCCATTTCCTGCTCTCCCTTGTAACCTTCCTGTGCATCTGAGTGTCCTTGTCTTATTCAAGAAGCATCTAATAAAGTGCACCTCTCAATACTCACACTGTAACCCTGACCCCAGTGATGTCACTAAAGGACAGGACTGAGGGCAAGCTTGCCCTATAGTTTTACCCTCTTTAATGCCGGGCCTCATCACTCTGGCAGAGTCCTCTCCATCTGTGTGTGCATGTGTGTGAACGCATGCGTGTGCTGGTTGTATGCAGACAGTATGTGTGTGTGTGTGTGTTTTATACAGACAGTATGTGTATGCATGTTTTATACAGACTGTGTGTGTGTGTGTGTGTGTGTTCTATACAGACAGTCTATCAACATGTGGTCCATAAGTCCCAGCAGGTTTTTGAAGGTGTAGCACTGAGGCAGAAATGGAGATCTAACCCGTCTCTTGCTGAAAATGAACTCTGTTCTCTGTTTAATCTGGAATCACTTACTGTAGAAACTCAACATCTCTGCTTCCCACTGAAGCTAATGAAAGAGAAGACTAGTATTTCATACTATAGCTTCATGATTAATGCCTTTGGCATGTGCTTACAACAGTGCTGATGCATTTTGTGCATAAATCCCTCAAATTTCTAACAAAGCTTCATCACACAGTCAGATTTTGAAAGCTGAAAAAGCAAAGCATCTCTATGGTGACAGAAATGTTGATCATGTGCTATTTTGGAAAAGTATGTTCAATTACCAGAAATCCTGCACTGTAACATCAGTTTATTGTAGACAACATAACGCTGGCCTACTGGTCCAGCCGCTTTTAATTTAGCACTAATAGGAGAATTATTAATAATACAGTTTGTATGTTGCTTATATTTATGTTTTGATCAATGTCATGAAAGTTAGGTTTACACAAAATTGTCCATTTGACACGTTTAAGATGATTTCACATTTGGAGATTATGTGAACCTCACAATGCATGTCTGACAATAATAAAAACTTGTTGTATAATATGTGATTAAGATATATTTCAAAAGCTTAATAAATTGGCAAGTGTTGCTCTAATTTCAAAATAAATAAAAGGCCACATGATTTCCAGTTTTACATATGAATTAAAACAGTCGTGCTGTCAGACCAGAAATCTACTTTAAGGGTGAGTTTACTGTCTAAGTTTTGATTTATAAAAATTATCTTCGACATAACTCCACTTTTTAATTTAGGCTTGGAGAGTCTACTTGGACCTATAGGATGTTCAATAATACTGCCAGTAAGAGAGTATCATGCATGTTATGTATTCTGAGGTAAGGGGCCACAATATTTTTGGACCAGAGATAAAAAAACAAAAAAAAGAGGCTTTGGGAACACACTTGACCTTTTCAGTCAGAGTGACAGAGCTGGGCTGGTCGTATGGAGGTGACCTTTCCAGTACTCTACCAATGCAGCCCGGTCGACCTCCATCAGGCTCGTATACCGGCAGAGCGGGGGGAGAGAGAGGGGAGAGTTTGGGAGCTGTTAGAGGCATGTCTGCATCTCCAAAACAAGGAGAGAGGATGACAAAAGGATTATAGAGGATATTTTCTTACTGCTGAAGGATACATGTGTGATGTTGCCTTGCATTGTTACATTCACAAACCAGTGTATTCACATGCCCAGAAAATCATAGTCGTCTCCTGCCTCCATTTTTTGTCTTCCTTTTGTTCTGTTCCCGAGCTAGCCCACACTCTTGCTTCCTCTATTATTTCATTTCTGTCAGTGAACCTTTCTTCCTGCCTCCCCCCTCTGTCTTTCTCTTCCTCCTTTTTTTCTTCCCTCGTTCTCCCTCCCTCCTCCCCTCATCCTCCCACTTCCCATCTTTGCATGTGCCACTTTCAATTGTAGTGATATGCCCTGTGGCAAACTCTGCCTCTGTGTGCTCGAGCAGGCTTTGTTGGTAATGGCTGTTATCCTTGACGCGAGGGGAGGAGTGTAAATTCCTCCAGCAAAGCCTTACACCAGCATGTATGGGAATTATATTGTACTGTATGGTGGAACAATACATCAAACCCCCACTGCATAGCTTCCATAAGTACATTTATAATAATTATCAGCCTCAAATCTTGTCCCATATCTCTAACCAACAAAAAATCAAGTCTGCTTTTTCCTGCTCACTTGTGATTTATCAATTATTTTCCCACAGATGGGTTTACAGTAAATTGGATCCCTGTTAGTATTGAACCGGTTTCTTTGTCTCCGTGCAGAGGTAGTTGGGTCTGTGTATTATGTGGACAGAGAAATGTTAAAAAGGTGGCTTGCGTGGAGTAAGAAGATTTCAAAAAACACAGTAAAAGATGCATCTGACTTTTCTTTTTTTCTTCCATGTTCTTTATTACGCTGACTATGGCTTGTTTTTCCCATAGAGTACTATTAGTTAGTTTTGTGTTATCTGAAGGGATGTTAAGCCGTGGTAGGTCATTTGTGTAGGCTGTGTTTTGCTGTATGGACTATAATTTGTGTTCTGTCTTCACCTCATGTGCTGCTGGTGTGCCTCTAACCTCTACTTGCCCCATTCTCCTCTGACAGGCCCTGGAAAGCGAGTTTGTGTCATGTCAGCTGCATCAGTGGATTGACCTTATTTTCGGCTACAAGCAGCGGGGCCCGGAGGCGGTGCGTGCCCTCAACGTCTTTCACTACCTGACTTACGAGGGCTCCGCCAAGCTGGACGGTATCACTGACCCTGCGTTAAGAGAGGTAAGGCTCACTCACACATATTGCCATGGAGACAAAGCCCCCCCGCCCTCCCCTCTCATATTTAGCATAGACACCACTTCCTGTCTCTATTTGTTCTGCCATGTGCCAGTGCTCGCGAGCTTTCATATCACGCAGCTGTCAATCAATTCATGTGTCATGTACATGTAAGCAGTGAGAAAATCATGAAGAGCTGCTTACTCATCAAGATTGTATTTTGACCGTCATTTCTTGATCACCCGAGTTAATAGTTGCCTCTTTCTTGCGTAAACTTTATATTAATATCTGTCCACATTATTCATTGATCCATCCAAACAGCATCTTTTGTGTTTTTTTTATCCTTTGCAGTGAATAGAATGTGAGTTCCTTAATCAGATCAATAAATCTGACTGGACTCTTTGATCAATCAAAAGAGGTCAATCAGTCAATAGATGAAGGAGTGAATCCTCTTGTTCTGAGCTAACTAATTGAATATCTATGAGCTCGCCTGTACTACTCGTGAATAGCTTAATTGCGTAAAGGGGAAAGGGGACCAGAGACTGCAGCAGCTGGCATGCATTGTGGTTCTTTCCAGTGTGAGCTTGTCTCTCCCTGTGATATCCACCATCTGCTGTCTGCAAAACAAGTCATTTATATACTGTCACTTCCAGGAGCGCCTTTATTTATCAAGTGACCACTATGCAAATCACCTGCAGAAGATTTGGCTGATCTGATTACACAGCCGTATTGTGAAAGGTTTAGTTTTCATCATTTAGAGAATGTTTGGTGAAGATGATTTTTTTTTTTTCTTGCATTGCATCAGGTTTAGGGATTTTTAATCATTTTTACACCCTGCCTACTGATACCCTGAGAGATGACAGCACTGTTTGTTAGTTTCGGATTAGGAAGCCTGCAACTCAGAATCTCTAATTGTGCCCATTTGATGTAGTTGCGATTGTGACATTTGAACATATTTGTGCTGGAGAGAGAAATAGGTTCTGCTAATTGCAACTGATAGAATGCTGAATATGATGAGCACTAATTAAGACAAGCCTTCACACCTTCAGTCACATTTCTTATTCCTGTTGAATTTTCTCTCAGCCTCTAAAATAAAGGCAAACAAATGTTTCTTAACCCCATTTACCAAAACCTAGCCAGGTTTGAACAGGTCTGTCAAACAGGTAAGTTAAGATAATATCTTTTTTTTCCTTGCATATACAAGTAGCCAAGAATATATACAGGTGTGAGACAGAATACTTTGATTCTCTGATGTGAAGTCTTTAAATCAAGTTTTCTTTATAGTCCATATGATATGATCTTTTTGAAGGGGATTCTCTTAAGGTTTTTTAACTTAAAATAATCCCTACTTCTATGTACTACTCCTCTTCCTCTCGCCTCTCAAAAGCAGGCTGTGAACTGCCTGACTGAGTCAGAGAGGTGGAACATGGAAAAGTGCCCAATGCATGTCTCGCTAAGTCCTGCTGAAATCAACGATTGACTCCGGGGTATTGATTCACCCTGAGCCTGACAGGTGAAACTGCAGATCTGGCATTAGTCACAACAATTAAGGCATTTGAAATGTCAAGAAATTAGAGGTCATGAGAGATAATTTCCGTCAGTGTGTCAGTTTAAAAATGATGACACCTTCTGACATGCTGCTGGGCCTCTTGTTGAGGACACAGTGACAGCTCTACTGGGCACACTGCCGGAACAGCAGTCCTTTCCCCACGACACTCCTCCTGACAGCCTTCTCTTATGGAAAACATGACAGCAACCCCTTGATTCAGACCCTGCAGTGTCACTCAGAGTAAACAGACAAATTATTCATCAGTGGGACTCTATTCCTCCTCGGCTGCCACAGCCCCTCCCGCCCCTTCTTAGTTGACAAAGACAACAAAGTGTGCTGTGGCTAGCCGATGAAGTGCTTTGAAGCAGCTGACTTACTTTAAATTGACTTCACCTTGATTTTGTCATAGTGATGTCACCCAAGTGTTTAAATGTTTGACCCTAATGATAAGAAACTCCCTTCATATGTATTACAGATCATATAGGATTCAGTGTTCACTGTCTTTGATGATATCTATAAGAGGCATTAGAGACAATCGCCTACTGGTGGACGTGTTGTTTGAAACATCTCCCACACACAGTAGCGCACATGTCTACGTCTATGCTGTCACTCAAGAAACACCCGGAGGGTCATTCCTTGTTAATACTTAAGGATTAGTCCAAATAAGCTTACCTTGAACAAATGTACATTGGTATGTTAAGAATGGGCAGCAGTGTCTTCACAATGCAATAATAACACAACAACTACGTTAATTATTTGTTTATCGTTTCACAGGCCTTTGTGGTTTTTGTGATGACTGCGATGATGAAGCAATGTGTTTCTGTAATCTTACAAACTTGTCAAAAGGTGAAAGTTTACAGCTCCATATTTGTAATTGCCACGGCTGATATCAGGTGTCGTGACTCAGCATGATCCCACGCTGCTTAGCGGGTCACTGCAAGGCCGAGTTTGTGTTCTGACTGACAGAGCTGTTGTGTTGCTGCATTGCATGAGTGCACCAGAGGATGCTGTTGGGAGATCAGAGTCACTACTTTGGGACCAGCTAGCAGATAAAGAGAGAAAGGTGCAGCCATTACAGATGCAAACAAAGTCAGAAAGACAGACCGACAAGCAGACGCGGTGTGTTATGATGGATGTTAGGTGCTCACCCAAGCAAGGTGGTTGTTGCTGGGAGGGGAGATCATCCAGATGGTTTTGGCAATAAGTGTCACTTATCAGCCAAAAAAGCAGAGCCTGTAGTGACTTAAACTAATGAACTGCCTGTTAAGTGCTCTCCATCTCAGACTGAGATAGAGATAAGTTTCTGACATTCCTCAGAGAGGATTAGTGTTAAAGCACCTGAGAGATATTGACATGTTTTGATCATCTAGTGGAGCAACATGTTCTTGAGTTAACCTTTAAGTAAGACCCCTCCCCTTAACACACACAAAAACATAGACCCATACACAGTCCTCCTCATTGCACTCTTTAATTAATGTTAAGAGTCTTGATTATCTAAAACTTCCAAATAAGGACATACAGCATTCAAGTTTGGCTGGTAATATAATTATCACAAGAAATATGGTGATGTTTTCCACATGGCCCTCTCAGTCTTTCTGATCTCTGTATCGAATTTCCTAACTCTGACAGACATTGTGACCCTCACCCCAAACCTAACCTTAAATAGCCATAATGTCAGCTGCTTATTACTTGACGGAGTGCATTGTAAAGAAACCCTCACTAACACTTAATGGTTGCCAAATGTGCTCACCAACTCACATGAAACTTTCACTGCTGTGCAACAGCGCTCAGCAGTGTGGACAGGGCCTTTTTGGTTCTGTGGAAAATCGGAAGTGACCAGGGGGCGTTTGGGGCGACTGTGTGGCTTGCAGGTGGCCTGTCCTAATTCAGTATCACCTCCAAATGTCCCGCGCCACATCTCCCTCTGTGGCATGTGCTACCCAATAGGTCCGTTTGATAGTGAGTGGTGTGTACAGGCGGAGGAAAATGAGGGCTAGTCACCCAGGCAGTCAGAAGGGCAGGCGAAAGGCTGAGCGATGTATGTTCCATTGTGCACAGTGGCATTGACGGACGTCTACAAGCTCCCCTCTGATGGTGGAAGTGGCTCCAGTCACATCAATCACACGCACAGTGGAGTGCCCCACTTTCAGTCAAGCTCAGCAGCTCCTTCTGCTTGTTTTTTTCCCTCACTCACTGGAAGGCAAAGGAAACTTTTGTCTATTTTAAAAGCAGTTGTTTTCTAATTATAGTAAAAATAGTCCTCTGTTGTTATGTTGTTTTGATCCTCTGCTCAGAGTGCAACCTGTTCAGTTCTTAGTCTTTTCTTTAGTCACTAACATCCAGACTCCCAGTTGCAAGCCCATAAATCATCCATCATTAAAGTACCTACTACACAAATCACCCTGGTCTGCTTGTGTGATTTTGTGCCTCTGTTTGATACAAATGTGTGTGTATGGACATGTTTTTTCCCCTTTGTTTCAAGCACAATAACATCTAAAAGCAGGCCGGCCTGCTGCAGTCCTAGCTGAGTGTCACTCCAGGTTAACGTTTATGCAGTGGGGGCCCCTACGCCTGGAAATGGGAATGGTTAACTGAAGCATGTTAATAGGAAAAGGCTTGTCTCTTCCATACTAACACTTGGATGACTCTGCAGGCTGAGGGGGGAAGGGGGAGCACCCAGGCGGATTGGGAGTGCTCCCCTTTCCCTTTACCTCCCCCCTTCCTCAGAGGCACGGCTGAGTTAGGATTTGCTTGCATTGTCAAGTAACGCATTGACCCATCACTTTGATGCATATTGATTGTGACAGGCGCTCTCTCTCTCTCTCCTTCTCTGCTCTCTCTCTCCCTCCCGCAGGCCACAGAGGCACAGATCCAGAGCTTTGGACAGACGCCATCTCAGTTGCTTATTGAGCCACATCCTCCACGCAGCTCCGCCATGCACCTGGTGAGAGCAATGAGCATGCTGGGAAATATCTCTGCACCTCTGGTGGTGTTGGTTTGTGATAGAGGATGTGTGGACCTTTGTGAGCCTGTATAGTGTGTGTTAGCGTGTTTTTATTTGTAGCTACATACAGGTTTGAGATAGATGTCAATGATTTCTCATGGATACATATTTTCCTCAAAACACTCGTATAAAACATATACATTTTAGATGTGTCACCTCATATAGGTCGCAGACCCGCAGTATAACACATGTACAGGACCAATTGTGTGCTGTATTTTATAGCTCTAGCTGCCTGCTTGCAATGTGAGGTAAAGGGAAGAGTGCTCCCTACTGGCCCAGTAGTTTGGCTCTTTTTTTTTTCTGTAAGCCGTCTTCACTGTCTAATCCATGCAATAGGAAGCCTAGCCCTCATTATCCCCACATGGCTCCCTCTGTTTCTCTCTCCCTACAAGAAGCTTTGTTAGGCAGATGCCTTTGAGGCCTTTTAGTTCAATTTTAACTTCTACTACAGATGTGAATGTTTTCATCCACTTCTGTCCTCTTCTGTCAAAATCTTCTAAATTCAGGGAGCTACAACTACTTAAAAACTCACAGTATTGTCAGGAACACTATCCCCTTCATTGCTGCTTCTTTTAAGCTGAATTCTACTGAGGAAAAATAAGCACATCTTTTAGAAGCAACATAATCTATTTGAATAGTCCTTCTTTTTAGACTGAAGTGAATCTTTCTGATACATGTATATCTCTTTTGTACCATCTCGTGTACAGCCTTCTTCATCCCAGTTTTCCATGTCTTACCCTCGTCTGACCGATCCCTCGTCTGACTGCACTCTCCTGAGGGAGCAGTGCATGAAGCACTCCTCTGTGTCTGAACCTACTTTTTCCTCCAACCTCCACACTAATTGCCTGTTTCCATTCTTTTTCCCATCCTATCATACCTTCATCTTCTCCATCCCCTTCCTTCTTTTTCCTTCCTCTTCCTGGTCCTTAATCCTTGTACTCGTCCTCTCGTACCATCATAACCTCCACTGTCACACTGTCTTTTCCCTCTTCTACTCAATAGTGTTTCCTTCCACAGAGTCCGCTCATGTTCAAGGACCAGATGCAGCAAGATGTCATCATGGTGTTGAAGTTCCCGTCCAATTCCCCAGTAACACACGTGGCCGCAAACACGCTACCCCATCTTACCATGCCTGCTGTGGTCACGGTCACCTGCAGCCGTCTATTTGCCGTCAACCGATGGCACAACACCGTTGGTGAGTGGAGCTCAGCTCACATGGTGGGTGATGTGTTCAAACATACACATATGCCCTCAGAAAAAAAAAAGTGCCACACCACATGTGATACCTACCACAGCAGTTTCCCTGTAAAATCACTTCATCACCATCACATACAAACCTGCCCACTGCTCATGATAGAGCTGCAGCCAGCTGGCTATGTGAGAGGCTAGCACCTCCAAGGTAAGCTGACCATGAGTGTTTCCACATGTTCCTTTCAGACATGTGTGAACAACATTACCCACAGAGCCCCCTCCCTGAGAATCCAACTCACCTCAGGGTCAGAGGGCCAAAGAAATGGTTACTATGAAATTAGGCTGCAACTGCGCCACATTCTCCTCACACGTCCCCATCTGTCACCGTAGAAACATGACAAGCTCAGGACCAAAGAGTCCGCACTGTGTGGCTGCTCCGGCTGCTCCCACGCTAATGAACACAGCTGCAGCACCCTTGCCAGGGAAATGTGGTTTGGTTTTTTTTCGGAGTAATGATGATAATAAGGCCTCCATATTTTCAGGCATGTTGCTGTTTTTAAACTAGATCTGGATACAGTTTGCATGGACAAATGTCTGATTCAGTTTGACACCCTAAATAAAGGAGAACAACATGACGGATGAAAATCTCTCTGATGGACCTTCACTTTTTCCATCTCCTGGAAATTAATTTCCTTGTTTTTCTGCATCAATGCAGGTCTAAGAGGAGCACCTGGCTATTCTTTGGAGCAGGCCCATCACCTCCCTATCGAGATGGATTCTCTTGTTGGTGAGTAAACACCCTTTTTCTGATCAGCATCACAGTCAAAAGAAGGGTTAACTTTATTTGTTTTAGCTGTAACTGTCTTGATATCTTGTTTCTTACAGCTCAGGTATTGGCACCTGTTCTGTTTTTACTTTTTTCCCCCTCACAGCCAACAGTACTGGAAGCAACAAGCGTCAGATCACAGACCTAGTGGACCAGAGCATCCAAATCACCTCACACTGTTTTGTGGTGACAGCTGACAACCGCTACATACTGGTGTGTGGCTTCTGGGACAAGAGCTTCCGTGTGTACTCCTCCGAGACAGGTAGGTTGCAATGTAAACTCTATTTCCTATAGAGGTGTGCGCTGATGTGTGGAGGACTGAACGCTATGATGGGTGTAATACAGTATTGTCGCTGCTGTCTCCTGACAAGTCTTGTAGAAAACGACTGACAATACTGTAATACAGTGGAACTCCCTGATTAAAAATAAAATTACAGATCTGTTTCACTGATTGCCCATGAATTGATAATAAATGAATGTTCGCAAACTTTCTTTTTAATTATCTACATGATTATAATAGCACTCTTACAATGCCCAAACAGCTCCTGGGTGAATGAGACGATCTTTCATTAGAGGATATAAATAATTACAATACAATAGTGTGTTTTGTTTAATGTGTCTGCTTGTTGATACAAAAATAAAACACAATACTCCCTAACTACAGCCAGTGGGGCTTAGACAACACAGCTGGCAGGAGTTTTGTCATGTTGCATTTCAGGAACTTCTGACTAGCAATTTTTGTTAACACTAAAAACATGTTTGTACATACTTTCTCTAGGCAAGCTGACCCAGATAGTTTTTGGCCACTGGGATGTGGTGACATGTCTGGCCAGATCAGAGTCTTACATTGGAGGAGACTGCTACATCGTCTCAGGGTCCAGGGATGCAACTCTGCTGCTGTGGTATTGGAGTGGACGGCACCATATTATCGGCGACAACCCAAATAACAGTAAGCAAAAATATACATGCACACAAAGAGTATACTGTGACATCCAACTTTAGACTAAGTGACAGGATTATTTTTACATAGTTTCCCGCTTTAATAGCATATAAAGCTACATGAGCTGCTTTTGAAAAGTCACATAGGACTCAAGAGTCTTTGATCAAAGCTGGCAAAAAGGCTAGATTTCAAAATGTTGTGTAGAGAGACTGAGAGGATAATGTATCTGAACTGGGTGTGTGATATATTATTGTGTTTGATTGCATTGAGCAGTGCTGCTTTCAAGTAGAGGACTCCAGATGTCTTGGCATTCAAAATGGGAGACCCCGTTGTGTGATTTCCTCCGCTCAGTTCATTTAGTTGCTCATTCTCGCTGATTGTGTGTGTTTGACCATTCATCAGAAGATGTTGCAGGACTGTGAAAGCGAGTAGCGCCATATATGGTGTGGAACTGAAACTGAAGATAAATAATGGAGTGTGTTTGTATTTTTTCATTCTGTGTGTGTGTGTTTGAAAATGGTTGTTAGAAGATCTTGTGTTTCCTATTGTTACAGATTCTAGGAGCTTTGGAGTAGTTGTGAGTGTTCTCTAATTAACTTCACTGAGGCTCGGACAGTTAATTAAGAATTTCAGCTTGGTTGCCTCCAATTAGCAAGGGGCAATAGCACTTGTGTTACTGCAGCAGGAAAACAGTATTCCCCTGATATTCACCCCACTAGTGCTTACAATGCATCTTCAATGGACAAAAGGGAAGGAAACAAAAGACAGGATGCGCAATCAAATAACTTCTCACATTTTTATCAATATCTCATGATGTCAAAAACAATGTGGAGGAAGCAGACCTAAGGAGAGGTGTGAAAACGTAGAGCATGTTCATCATGCAGTAGAAAACCAATTAGCTAAAAAAACTTGACATGATGCGTTTTTGACACGGTTCTTAACAATCCTCTTCAGCCAGCTAATATCCATGTTTAAACACAGAGGTAAGGGTGCTCAAGAATAAACTTCTACTACTGTACTATCTTTACACTAGAAATACCATGTCATCTGTTACCTATTCATCAAAAGATGTTCTCATTCCTGTTATATTATACAAAACGCTCATTGGACGTGGTGTAAATATGTAGCAGCTATATCACTGCTCCCTCATCGGACATATGTGGCGTGTAAATGGAATAGATTTCCATCGCACCCCAAAAGGCTTCATGTGTAATAATTAAAATAACTTCCAGCTCAATCATGGCCCTGCCTCTCAGACTTGCTCCATCACACCGATACAAGGGGATATTTGCACCTGGTAATTGTGGTGCCTGACTTCGTCTCGTCCCAAGGGCTAGGAGGAGAGGGGGGGGTGTGCAGTGCAAGCTGATTGAATCTTTTGTAGGGAAGGTGAGCTGCACACAGTCCCTTTTCCCCCCTGGAGGCTTTTCTGACACTTGTCCTATTCAGCCCCCCCTCAGCAGCGGGTGCTGGGACTGACAGCACTGCTCAGGTCCTGGTCTCTGAGGGACTGTGCTGCATCGATCACAGTCCAGCTCGCTGACTGGGCTCCTACAGCTGCAGAGGCGATATGCCGAGCTGGAACAGGAGATGATGGGAGAGGAGGAGAAGGAGGAGGAGAGAGGTCTGACACATGTCCACATCATCTATCAGGGCTTTACTGTCATCTAGGTGGATGGAGAAACTTTCACTGAATTGGCTGAACTTTTGAGTCGTGTGTGAACACCCAACAGACACATACTGTAATATTAAGTAGCTTCAGTTTGACAGGAGTTTTCCATCACTAGTGGAGGGAATTTATATTAATATTTCTACATCAATTGATTAAAAATCCATTTTGCAGTTAGATATTTAAATAACATTGTGGTACATTGTTTTTTTGTAGCTTTTTATGTGACTTTTCTAGACTTGAGGATTTGCTCAATATGTCAGATTTCAGAAGGAGTGCTGCAGTCATACTTCTCCTCCTACACCGTACTGGCAGTACTCGAGGTCAGCTCCAGGTGCTGCGGAACTCCCCTCACTAACCTCTCCCCCGGTCATCATCAATCATGTGACACACAGAATGAAATCAACTGGCTGTGCTGCCATCAGTGGGCATCCCTCCATTTACATGACAATTCAAAGGGACCTCCCTGCTAGCAGATGTGTGTCACGCTCACTATGCTTGTGTTTGTATGATATTATTGCCTGATGACGGTGTGGTATGTAGACGATTGCACAGATTGCAGTCAACCTGTAAAATTAAAGTCAATTTAAATTACTAAACAATGTTCACATCTAGCTATTATGTTTTTAGATTCAGACAATACTTTAAATCAGTTGAATGAAGTCATTTTTTATGATCCTTTAGGTGACTACCCTGCACCTCGAGCAGTTCTGACAGGCCATGACCAGGAAGTTGTGTGTGTGTCGGTCTGTGCAGAGCTGGGTCTGGTCATCAGCGGAGCCAAAGGTCTGTGTACTTTTCGATCTCCCTTGAATTTATTGTTGTCAGAGAGAAAAAAGGGAAGTCAGGGACCAGGGGTCCTCAGTCTATTACAAACCCCCATATGAAGTTAATCATTTCATTAGGCTTTACAACTGAAGAACCACATGTCTCTCAGAGAGCTTTTGGGACCATGAATCTGTCTCTGGGCATGCTGTCAAAACAGTTTGTTCACAATTAGGTTAGTGAGTGACTGTTTTTCTTTTTCGTTTGGCAGTGGGTCCATGTCTGGTCCACACCATCACTGGTGACCTGCTGCGGGCTCTGGAGGGGCCAGACCACTTCCAGTGTCCACGGTTCATCTCAGTGTCCAGCGAGGGCCACTGCATCATCTACTACGAGAGGGGCTGCTTCTGCAACTTCAGCATTAATGGAAAAATGTTGGCACAGATGGAGATCAATGACTCCACCAGGGTAAGATGACTTTTTTGACACCAGTGTTCTACAGGAGCATTAATATATAGCAGCTGAGAATCAGAGTTCCCAGACAAGTTGCCTTTTGAAATGTGAATCCTTTAATTGTGATGGTATTAATAAAAATATATTTTGAATGTACCAAGGAACTAAGGGTGCATGTCACTCTCCACTATCATACATGTTGGTGTATATAAGACAACTAGTACTATTGACCTTGTTTTTTGTTTTTCTTTTCCCACTGTAGGCTATTCTTTTGAGCAGTGACGGCCACAACTTGGTCACCGGTGGGGATAACGGTGTGGTGGAGGTGTGGCAGGCCTGTGACTTCAAACAGCTCTACGTCTACCCTGGTTGTGATGCTGGTATCCGAGCAATGGACCTTTCTCATGATCAAAGGTCAGAGCAGGCCGCTTGCTTCAGCAATGTTAAAGCCACAGAGAGAAGTGATGATTTCTCTCCACAAGCCGTCTTAATAAATAGTGAATAAATAATTGTCATAATCAGGTATATTTACTGATTTAATTAAATCCTCTGATGATATGGACATCATACCTTTTTGATTTAACACAATTAATTTACACTGACTACCAAGGCAATACAGATAAATAGATGGTTAAAAACAATTTTTCAAGACCCTGGAGTAGAAAAGGAACTACAAGTTATATCCAGCTGGTACAGTTAAGTATATAATAACAAGAGTGTGCAATGTTGGCTTTACCTTGCTTTTTCCCCCACAATTCCTCTGTGGGTTTGTGTTTTTTCTTGCATTGTCTGTGTGCATGCGTAGGCTTGCATAGTGAGTCCCTTTGTGTTGCATGCAAACACAAATGTTCCCTCAGACTCAGTACTGTCCTCTGCGTTTAGGCTGTGGTAAAAAGCCTCGTGTATCCTGTGTTGCATGGTTGTCACAAAGCATTTAGGTAAGGGGATGTCCACCATCCTTTTCATTAAATCAGAATCTACAGTTGCCATAGAGACAAACATTGCAGTGTATCTCTTGTGTATTCATTTATTTTGGGGAAATTGACACAAGGGTGCACACATGACTACTGCAATGGTCAGTCGGCAGGTCAGCATCTTGTTTTTGTTTAAAGTTTGACATCTGCATGATTCGTCAGGAGTCACAATTTGTGCCTCGCCAGCGGCGCTGACCGCTATTGCTCGCTCCGGGCCGATAAGCCTGACGTCATCATGTGACCCTGGCAGTCAAAAGAGGTTAGAGAGTCTGATCATTCCGGCTGCCCCTTCACAGCCCAAGGCCAAATCCCCCTCAGCACTTACAGTCCAACCGAAAAAAAGAAACAAGAATCTTAAGCACATTTATGCTGCAAAATCGTGGCTAACTGCAGAAACTGTGAAGGTCAGCACAGGATGGTCAGAAATGTGTCAACTGATGACCGATTAGTATAAAGTAAATTTCACAATGTTAATAACATTAGCCACTAAAACTACACCGAGTGGACGTACTAGATGCTGTTTTTATCATTTCTTTGAACACCACTTAAAGAGGACATATTAAACCCCTTTTCCACCTTTCCAAAGAGTCCACCTGTGGTCTAAATGAAACATCTGTGCTGTGCTTTGGTCAAAATATAACATGAATCAAGCACCCAGAGGAGGGTTTGTGACCCTCTATAAACCAGCTCTCTCAGAATGCTCCGTTTTGGTGTGTGTGTCTCTTTAAATGTAATGAGCCCTCCCGCTGAGTTTTCCCGGTAGACACTCCTTTGCTAGCGAGAATAAAAATGGCGGACCTGCACAAAAGTTTTGCTCTAGGCTGGGGATGGAGTCCATTGGGGGAGATACCAGGGGAGGGGATTTTTTTTTTTTTTTTTTACAAGAATCCCACTGTGATGTCATAAGGAGAGTAAATTAGAAACAGAGCATTTTTCTCTGTTTTGTAAGACTTATGCAGACCACAAACAAAGGACTGGATGGGTTTATTTCACATGTTGTGGGTCGGTAGACACTCAGGTTACCCAGATATATGTTCAGAAACACTGTAGAAGGGGATTTTTCATAATATGTCCCCTTTAACAAATCATTTTAATGAAATATTTTAAGAACCCCTTGGTTCAGTTACAGTCCTCCTGAGTAAGTTGACATCAGGGAACACAAGTGAGCCCTGCTCCACAGCTTCATTTACAGAGGGGCATTCTGGTGCCGCTCTGTTCATTGTGCTTCAGTATTTAAGCCCTTGGGGTGTAGCAGTATAAGACGACCCTGTGAAATCAGCTGCTTTTCCTACATACCAGTTGGCCGTGCAGAAGAGCAAAGAGGTTGCAAAAAGACAGTGGGGCTCAGTGCTCTACTCCCATTGTCAGAGGAACCCAGTAATTTACTGTTACAGTCCCTGATGACCCCGTAAGCTAGTTTCATTCACTGCTGTAGACTTTTTAACAAACCGCTCATATTCATGGAAATAATCTTTAACAACAAACACATTTAAGAACATGTTGGTTTCTTGCTCATGAAGGTACACCTTTAAAATATGAACAAAAGAAATCATTTAACCAATATGGCGATTAAATGTCTAGTTTTAGTTTGTGTTTTTTTTTTTTTACTTTTTCAGATTGCACTCACATTCACTTCTGATCTGTTTAATTGTAATTTGGTCTCACTCTTACATCATCTTGCTGCCCTTCAGGACTTTAATCACAGGCATGGTGTCTGGCAGTATCGTGGCTTTTAACATCGATTTCAACCGATGGCACTACGAGCATCAAAACAGGTACTAAAGAGAGAGGAATTACGCAGCAGGAGCAAGTGTGCTGGAGGAAACACCCAAAGACCAACAACCAAGCTTTGTAGCAGAAGATCAACATGGAGCTTGATAGAGATCATGTGGGTCCAAGACCATCAGCATTGTGATGCTAATAAAGAACAAAGTGTGCCAACATGTGTTCATCCGTTGGCGTTATTACTAATCATCTGTGGCTGAACAATCGGGACACGTTTTCTGTCTGTTTTCTTGTCTTACTTGAACACCAGCTGATGCAAAGAGAGACTGAGATACATTTTAGTTATTAAAACAAACTTAACGTAAGCTTTTAAGTTCCTGTTTGAAACTGTGAAAAGAAAAATAATTCTCTTTAAGGAACATTTATACAACATTTGTATGGCAGATACATATGTCACTTGGAACACTTTTCTAAAGAAAACAAACAACTTGTAAATATTAACAGTGTAAAGTGATTCTACCCTGGAAAGGCTTTGACTAAGATCTAAATGCGTTTAGATTAGCCACTATGTTGCCAACATTTCCATCATGAAAGCCATGTATACAATGTTTCAAACGTCTTCATTGCACTTCAGATATTAGTTGGTTAGCAATACATGTGTGTGGCCATTGTTTTCTCATGGTTATGACTAGTGATCAGTGTATCTGTAAGTGAAAAGACTAAATGTCTCTTTGTTGTGTTTGTCTTTATGGAGGAAATGTCTAATTCAGTGTGAGCTTAGTCTGTTGTGAAATCTTTGTTCTTGATCATGATGTCAGCTAGAAGATAACGGTTGCATTTCTAAATAAATAACTTTTCTTTTTATTCATTTGCTAATAAATTAAAAAAATTCTCACTGTGATAACTTTAAACTGTTCAGATGGGATTTTGAGCAGGAATTATCCGCATTTTGTCTCATGCTATTTTTTTCTTTAAAAAATTTATCCAGAGGCGTAAATCACCAGATTCCTTTGACAGTATTTTAGTTCCTTTTTGATACTCGTGGTAAAGCTTCGAGACATTTGTTAAGATTGTTATTTGAAGGATTTTCAGCAATTGTCAGCCAAGCAAACGTTATTCCTTTTGCATCACATTTTGTTTTACTTTGCCTGTTGATGCACCAAATGTTTGCTATCCCATGTTGGATCTGTGAATTTGTGATGAGCGGTTCATGCTTGAACACCATGCACTGGTAAGCAATATTAAAACTTAGTTTCTGTGAAGGTTGATAGAATGTCTTTCAGCTGTGTGACAAAAATAATGTAATGAGCAGTGAGGTCATTCTTAAATGACTAAGGTTTATTTTTGTTGTTATGAATGCTAATTGTGTCTTCATTTAATTTCCGGGGGAAAATAGGTCTGCTGCTGTGATCTGAAAATGTCTAATGAACAAAAATATGCAAATAGACTTTGTGTAAACAATCTCATTTTCTTGCGGTGGTATAAGACACTGCCTACCCGAAGCTGAACTCTTGCATGTTAAAGCTACTGAAGGCATTGGGTTTGCTTTGCGTAACTGTGAAATCATTTTTCATTACTGTGAATTTTAATATCTTGAAAGAAATTAATAGATAATTTTTTTCAATGATTTAGTCTTAAAAAAAAAACCCTTTCTTCTTTTTATATTTTAAGATCTGTTATAATTTACATATTAAGGTTGTATTGCAAATCTTTTTTTGCATAAGTTTTGAAAGAGATGTCCTAAGCTTATTAGGTTATAAAGTACTGTAAATTCAGCTACTTTAAAAAAAAATGTTTTTTTAAACTGTCAGAATAAACAAATGTGAGGAGCTACTTTGCTGAGATTTGAACTCATTTGTGTGAAGTGCCTCCAAAACATTCATTCATGTATTGATGCAATCCCCTAATAAAATATTTACAACCCAAACGCAGTAAATTCCTACTATGACTGAAGGAGGAACTGAACTTGAGGAATTATAAGCTTCTCCTTGACTATACTGCCACCTGCTGTCGTCATGTGTTGCCGCAGATTGTGTGGGTCTGCAGCAGGTTGTGATGGAAAAACAAACTCCTGACAGATTAATGACTAATCATTTTTATTACCAGGTTTCATTTCTTTGGAGAGAATATTGTTGGAAGTTGTTTTTTTTCCAACCACCACAACATATCCTTTCATGTTACTTGTTATGTTCTCATTAAGGTTGTTTTTATGTCTTTGCATTAAATGGAATATGGATGAATACAATACAGCAGTCACTTTCTTTATCTGCGTCCACATAACCTTGACATTCACAGTCTTCTTTGAGTACCATTTCTGTTTGCAAACATGACATGTTTTTCAGATGACATGCAAACATTCCCAGAAAGTCGTCATCACAACTTGCTTTCTTTGTGCTTTTTGGTTCCCTTCATTCTTATCAAAAACTTAAAAAGCCCTTTACAACAATGTCAGTGATGAGTCGGTACATTTGTTTAAACATGTATATACAAGTCTTAACTTAGCTGTGGTATGACTCCAGTTTTCCTTAGTTGAACTTCATTTGTGAAGAGGGTGCATATAGTAATAACAGAAGTGGTTTATATCTAACAGTAAAAGACCAGAACTAGGATGCATATTAGTTCACATGCAGGTTACAGTCTTTGATGCGAGGCAGGACATTCACACCCATGAACATTTTGTCTCTGATACAATGTATGAAGAGCTCAGAGGACATACAGTACATACAGACTTCTTAGTCATGTTGTTTGATCTGATAAAAGAAGAAATGAACACATGGATTGTACTGGAAGCACTGTCGTGTTAAACATTTAACCTGTCTTATTTCAAAGTCTGAAAATAATAATTTAATTGTCCCCATTGTAGAGAGAAGTGTGTTTCTCTGCTATTAATAACAACCTGTGATGGATACAATCTCACTTATTCCAGCATTTTAAAATAATGTTCTCATTGGGAAGTACACCTAATTGCACTTAAATCCATATTGAAGGGAAGGCTTAAACATGCACTTACTATCAACTACACAACACTGACATTCATCTGTACCACTACTGAATTCTAACCACTCTTACAGACATGTAACAACTTCTGCTTCCAGATGAGCAGGACCATCAACAATCAACAATCAAACACTTGTGCAGCCAAATCTCTATCGAGGTGAGCTGCTTGATGGCAGGACCATGTTTGTCCTCCATAAATAATGTGTATGTTTAAATGTAGCAGCATGTCTTTTAAGTTCCTTTAGTTCTCAAACAGTGTCTCTAAGCCGTATGCACCAGTATCTTACAAGTTACAGCTTACATCTACATGTCCGATCACAATATCATATAATGCAATACTCTTCTTTATTACTTTTAAAAGCAGCTGAGTGCTTAGCTTAGCAGGTTGACTTCTTTGCAGTATTCAGTCTGCACCAGAAGAGGGCTCCAAAGTACTACTAATCAGTGCTCGCTGTGTAGAAATAAGGCAAACAGTTTTGTGGCTTTTGAAATGAAAAGAGAACAAGGTGAATTCTCACAGCTTCAAACTTGTCGATTTTTCTAATCAATGCCTTTTGTAGTTCAAATTAAATTATCATGATTACAAAAAATAAAAAAGAATAGGTAAAGTATGCAGTCTGAATATCCAAATCAGACGACTAACCCCAATTTTGGGTATTTCCATCTTGCCCTCCAATCTCTCCTACTTTTTTATAAATGTGAGGAAGGGCCAGCGATCCTCATGAAGGCTGTTAAAACGGGGAGGTGGGTGAACGGACGGTGTCAGGTGAACGGATGGTGTCAGCTGAACACGGGGAAATATCCTCGGACTCTGAGTTGAACTCGGCTGCCGGGAGGCCTGGGCTGGCACCGGCACGGATACTGTGAGGGAAGTGGGAAGGGAGCTTCACATCTTGGTGGCGTCTTCGTCGGAAAACTTGCTTCTCTTTATCAAGTGCTGTGGTCTGAGAGAGGGTGACACAGCAGCTATCATTAGGCTCTCCAAGAAACACAAAGATGAGGAGCTGCATCCACTCAACCACCAGTGAGACACTTGATAAATGATCCAATGTTAGCATGCACTGGTGTCTGAAAAGTTTACCTCACTTCTTCTGTTAATCAAATGTTAATTTCTCCAACAGAAAAGCCAAAAAGCAACAACACAAGACAATTAAGTCTTTGAATAGGCAGCGTGTGGCATCTTGATGTCAGTGACAGCACATCACATTTAATTTATGAAACAAAATTGAGTTCCTGAACACATGTAACCCTGAAATGCAGTAGATGTAGTAGCACACAGACGCATAGCTTTACTATGCAGAATAAGTAAATACATAAGAAACAGCCACAGCACTAGTGAGGGGAAGTAGCTTGATCAAGTGATGGATCTGCTAATGGTAAATGAGGAAGAGGCATAAATGAGGGCGAGGCATGAAAACTGCTTTGAGGGTAAATTGCTCAAACCCTTTTGAGAGATGTGAAATGGAGACTGCCAGCACTTTGCCATGGAAGCACTGCTTATTGGAGCTATTCTGTGTCATACCTTATCCAGTACATTCCTGGATGCTGACAGTGGTCCAGAGACCCTGATCTCTGGATGGTTAAGTCCTTCTCCAACTGAGCAAAGAGAGATGAGTGCAACTCAGATGATCTGAACAAGTCAAAACATTGCTGACCCGATTAGCATGAATTGGTACAACTATAAACTTATGTTTAAACTTAACTGGCAGAAAAATGTCATGTCAGAGTCAGTGCTTTTGAATTTGGCTACTGACAATTCAGCTCCCTCATCAACTGTAAGTAGTTCCAGTGTCTAATTTTAAGTGTATGTATCTTTCTGCCAGTTGGGTGAATTTAGCTCTCCTTTGAAAATATACAAAGAATCATATCAACCAAATTTGAGTTCTTGCAGGCCAACTATGTTATTTTAAGATCTCCTAAGAACAGTGCTGACAGTCCATCTACAAAAAGACGATGAGAGGCAAAAGCACACTGAGGAAAGACCAGGCAGCAAGAAGCACATGAATTGATGTCTATGTTACACAAAATAAAGCAGGGAATAGAATTGAAAGAAAACAAAGAAAACTGAAGTCTTCAAAATCTGAGAAACATACAACGCCTAATCACTTGAACACATGCAAGCCAAAACAAGAAAAAGGAATCTATTGATGCAGAGTTTCATGCAGCGTCGGTGTGTGAGGGATGCAGATCGGTGCTCACCGTAATGACAGACACTCCTGCTGTGGTGCTGTTGAGCTTTGGCCCGGTGTTAAAATGCTTCTTGATTTTCCCAGCCACTAGCAGCTGTTGCTCATTCTCTGACCCAGCATCATCCTGGAAAGCCCAAAGAACAATCAGCAACTCCACATGTTGTTTCACACTGTAATGTGTACTCAGTGAGTGATGAAATGAATAATTTCCAATGATCTTACATTGACCCAGGGATGATCCAGAACTTGCACAGCTGTATATCTCCGGTTACCGTCTACCTGCAGCATTCCAGTGATCAGAGCCTTAAGAAAAACAAGGTAGCCATGAGTATTAAATATTATTATGTAACCAACAGATCTGCTGGTGTCGGTGTAACATAAAATTGATAATTGAGAAGAGAATTTGAAGACAAAAAACCTTGGCAGAATCAGACACATTATCCCAGGATGATGCAGGGAAATCAAGCTGGCATTTTGAAATCTGGTCAAAGAGAGCCTCCTGATCTTCACCACTGAACAAAAGCACGCTTAGTAAATTTGACTCTCATTTCTTTTATATAACACTATTTGATTAATTAGTATACCACAGATATGTTGAAGTATTTCTGTTTAACATGCAGGGCCTGCATTTCATTTAGAGGTCAAATTATACCCCCCTAAATCCAAATAGAAACCTTAGGCCATGACATGTTAAACATATTAACAGGTTGAAACATCATACAGAGTAAAACAGGAGCACATACCCACGGAAAGGGGGAAAACCACACAGCAGTATGTAAGTAATCACCCCAGCTGCCCAGATATCGACCTTAAGGCCATATCTGTGATAAAGGAGGAAGACACAAGGTATCAAGCTTAGTTCATCAGTTTCTGATTGTGGTTATGAGGTTTTTCATCTTTCACAGAAAAAACACGTCTCAGATGACTCTGATGAACCCCTCGGACTCACCCCGTCTCAGCAATGATCTCTGGAGCAACATAGGTGGGTGTGCCACACACAGTATAGAGGGGCCCGTTAACAACAGTGGCCAAGCCAAAGTCACCTAGCTTCAGAGATTTACTGCCATCGTGGTGTTCAAACACCTGTTTAAGCAAAAGTATATCAAACTATTAACATTTCTCTCATTGGTAAAGATCTTTGTGATAATAAAGAGGCTGTGACATTTTTATTAAGCAATCTGTGATATCTTAAAAGTATGCTGTATTGGAAAAGTAAAGGGAAAGGACCACATTCAAATCCAGCTGAAAGGAAAAACCAATAAGAAAACAGATGGTCTATTCGAGGAAGGCGTGTCCATCAGTGTGCTGGATTTGTTCCGTTCAGAAATCTTAAATTGTCTGCTTCTAAAACTAAACTTAATCAATCAAGGCTGCTTTAATCTAGGTCAGACTTTACAGAGGGCATGTGTTCACAATGTTACAGTGATACCTTGTGGTGTTGACTTATTTAGTATCATCATTTCTATAATTAAATATCTTTATGGTATAATGTTGAATGCTTTGATGTTGTTAGCACTTGGAGAAAAGTGAGAACAAGAGCAGAAAAGGAGGAACAAATGGAAATAAAAAGCCATTAGGACTGAAGAGCTGCCAGGTCAGAATCTTCAGAGTAAAACTTACCAACAAGTTTTCAGGTTTGATGTCTCTGTGGACGATATTGAGACTGTGCAGGTACTTGATGGCACTTGCCAGATTGAACAGCATACTGCTGGCATCTTGCTCCGTGTATTTTTTAGATGAGGTGATTGCATCAAAGAGATCGCCTCCCTGAAACAGTTTGACAGATCTGAGATGAACACTATTTATTGTAGACAAAAGTCACAAAACTAACATTCATTAAAACAAACAATTTCATGATAAAAA